TAAAAAAACGGCAGGTCTCCGAAAATATATTTTTTGTTATTTTCGGTGACAAATTTCAGATGTGATAAATATTGATCGACAAAAAAAAACAGCAGAAAAAAACGGCAAACTACACGATTATAAAATAACTTTGGCGCCAGGATGTACTATAACAGATGATTTTGCTGTAATTGCAAACTATCCATATCATGAGCTTATTTTGAACTGACCTTGTCTTAGAGAATATAACTATGATTTACTTGAATTTAGAAAGCATATGGCTATTACTTGTAATGGAAAGGACTTCTTTATCCCTATAATTCCATCAAAAAATGAATACAAAAAAGTAAACTCACCAGTATTGGAAGCATTATATAATTAGTCAAGTATTTCAGAAAAAAGAATATTTAGAATACAATTATTTTTTTACGCCCTGCTAACTTCCAGAAATTCATTTACAAGATGGGGTGCATCTTCTTTGAATCTATTTGCTGGTTCCCAAGTTGATTCATTTTCAGGATATCGGCACCATTTAACAAGGTATTGTTTTTTACCTTTATAAGTTCTTTGCTTAAGAATTTTTTCAGTAATAAATTTATCTTGTTTTCCACAAATTACTGAATCTGGAGGCGGGTTTTCATTATCTGGAACTACTTGGAGTTGCTTTCTAGTATATGCACAACGAGATACACCTAATCTTCCATGAGGACCATTTACAAGGTATGTTGGAGGTTGTTCTGGGCTTAGCATAAGTTTTTTTATTACTCAAATTTCTGGATCCCACCTAATATCCCCTGTGTGGAATTTACCATGTAATTTTTTACCAAGTACTGATTTAGGCTCAAACAACATTACTCTGACTCGTGTTCCTTCTTGTAGCAATTCATCTTTATCAGTAATTCTAGGAAGGCCTTCTGGAACAGGAGGAGGATTTCGTTTCCATTTCTCTCTAAGAGCTTCTATTAGAATAGGATAATCTTCAGACCATTCCACAGAAGTTATACCAGTTTTCATTTCTTGTGCAGTCATTCGATTCAATATAGGCCTCTGGATTTCTTGATTAGTTTTTTCAACAAAGCATTGCTGTCTATGTTTTCCAGGAAATCCAAATTTCATTAGCACCTTAACCTCTTTTCTGAAATAATTTCGGACTAAAGAATTATCAAATTCCTTTCCTGTATCAGTATTTAATCTGAAAGTAGGAAATTTTACATGACCTCGTTGATAGATCCTTTTGAATGAATCTAGAACTGTTTTAGCATCTTTACTTTTGAGCAGATTTCCATCCAAATCCCAAGTTGAAACATCAACAACTATATGGGAATACCGGTATCCTTTTGGATCCATTGGTAATTCAAGTAAATCTGAATCCTGTACTGCATTGGCCTTCCAGACAATTACTTTTGGTTGTTCCAATTTTTTTTCTTTTTTAGGTCTAATGTGGAGATTGAAATGTTCTTCATTTTTTAGCAGTTTAGATGGTACCCCAGATAATGAATAGTATTTATAATGATGATCTACTGGTGTTGACATTTTGAAATCCTATTTGAATGTATGTATCTTAAGTTCAAAAGATGGTTCAAACATATTGTGTAAAGTGCCAAGCTAAAACAAATTCAGTATCTGAGAAATTGGAAATTACAGGAAATGGACAAAATCAATTGATTGGTAAATGTGTTGTTTGTGGTACCAATAAACATACCTTTGTATCTAAGGATGGATCGATTAAATTAAAGACTCCTGCTGAAGAAGCTATTGCCAGAGAAAAAAAGGAAAAAGCTAAAGAACGAAAAAAAGCATTGCAACTTGCTAAGAAGATTATAAATAATCAAAAATCTTAGTATCTGGTTATAATTCAATTATTTTAATTAAAATATGCATTTATCATAAATGCGGTTAATTTCATCTGGATTTACAATATAATTATACCTCACTAGGAAATATTCGAAGTTAA